GCTTCTTGTCTTCTCTGCTACGTCACGCGTAATGGACCCGCAACCCTTCGATGGCTCCGGAGATGCGTCTGCCTGGCTCAGAAACTTTGATGAGCGCTCCAAGAAGAAGTCTCCATCGTGGAAGACAAAGCGGATTGAGAAACTGCTTGTAGGGGACGCTAAGAATTGGTGGTACGGGGTTACTTCGGACCACTGGGATATATTGCGCCAGAAGTTTGTCGTTTACTGGATAGATGGTCTACGAGGGGAAGTGTACAAGGCGAAATGCAAGGAAATCGATTCCGCGGCATCAAAGGCACCTGTCGCAGTAAATTGGGTCACTGCAGACCCTCCTCCCCCACCAAAACCAGAACCATCCTCCTCCCATCCCATCTTTTCTGTCCTGGTTAACAGTGCAATTCTTGACCACCATGGCATCTACGACAAGGCCTACGCACAGCTTTTGGGAGCAGACTCTGCAAACAAGGAGAAGATTTTTCGTGTCATTTGGGATGCTGCTTTTGAGTCAGGAAAAAAGTGTGGTTTATTAACGGGGCGAGGTGAGGTTTTCACGGAGAATGTTGAGCGAGGAAAGCAGCTGGGATTGGAGATGGGAAGAAGGGAATTTGAGAGGGAGCAGAAACTGAAGGAGACGAACCACCAGTCCATTTCCATTGATACATCGGATCTCCCTGGCCTAGCCACACCAGCCTATGTCTCGATATCATCGCAAATGGACCCCGAGGTTTCTTCCACACCAATACCTGGTTCTGTTCCAGTCAACAAACTTGATTGGGCTGACGAGTCAGACACCATTCCACCTGCAGTCCTTATTCCACCCACTTCATCACCTCGAGATATTTCAGTTCTTCGTTCTTCCAGCTCTCATCCATTTGGTTCACTCCAACGTCGCATTCGATGCTCTCAACCACGTGCTCACGCACCATTCTTTTCAAACTCTACACCTCGTTACCCTGTTTTCACACGTCAACATCCTTTTGGAATTGGTCCCAGAAAGCCTGTTTACACACATCCACGGCCTACGAGACATACAGAGGACATTGATTGGATTGGTGATCCTCGCCTACAGGAGTTGAGTCGGATTTTAGGAGAGTTGGGCTGGGTTCGCAGGAGCTGAGTTTTTGCTTTCCTTTTGAGCATTTTTGGCTTTAGGCAACGCGGACGTTGCCTCGTTTGAAGGGGGCACATGGAGTAGGGATTCCGGGAGGATCCGAGGCGAGTTCAGTCACGTGACGGTTTCGTAGATATTCTGTAGCCGATCGGCAGGTAGAGCAGGCATATACACACTACTACGGCCTCAGGCATAGCTATAGCCAGGCTCGGCCCACTCCAGCGTTGCAACACTTGAAAGTTGAGGAGCTTGGAATAAGTTGGTAGAAAAACTCCTAGAATCGAGGCGAAATTTCCAAGTTTGGATGCTGTAAGTCAAACTAGAAAAAAATAAAATCTCTCATGGCCACGACTTTGTCAAGGATCCTAAAAAGAAATGTAATTTTTGAAACCATAAACAGATCCTTGGGCCCGCCGTGCTACTACTCTTATGAATGCAAAAAATAGTATACATAGATAGATAGATAGATAGATAGATACACGGCGTGGTCCCATTGAGGAACTACCGGTTTGCAGGTCATAAGTAGTACACGAGGGGAACATAAAGGAGGCAAAGCCAAGAACTCGTTACCCCAATTCTACCTTACCACGGGGCAGGACTCAGAGTGGTTCCCCCTTATGCATATGTATGCGTTCATTAAGTAGTAGTGACTACCACAAGAAAGAAAGTACAGTAGTGTGTAAGTAATACAGTATAATAAGTGGGTACTCCCGACTTCAAGTATGAATGAATGAGTTACAACAGACATACAACGTTAACAACAACTAAAACACGATACAATACATCATACAAGCAATGCACTATGCATTTTACAACAACAACAAGGAAGGGCATCTTCGAGCAAAGCAAAGCAATAAAAAGTTCCCCGACCGAAAGACTACATACGACAAAGTCAATGTTTGCGTCATCCTCATCACACTCCAGTTCATTATTTATCATTCATCATCCTTTCCCCCCAGAAGCAGCAGCCAAAACCTTAAACACCTCCCCCTGCCTCTCCCTAAACGCCCTCAACCTCGTCATCCCCAACGCAAGCGCATTAATCCTATTCGCAAAAGCTACCGCCCGTCCACTCGGACTCCTGCTCCTCCCTTTTCTATCCGTACCCGTATTCGCATTCATAGAAGACGTAGAATCCACCCGCCCCAACGACCCCCCAACACCCTCCTCCAACACAATCCTCACACGATCATATCGCGGGACAGGTGGATCTCTCCCTTCTTGGAGAGCTTTAATCGCTCTCTCGTCATCTTCCTCTCTCATCTGTATGACTGCACGGGATATAGACCCCAATTCGACCATGAACGGTCTGAGTTCGTCTGGGCATTCGGAGAGTGTGAGGTCTTTGCCTAGGACACCTCGGACAGTAACATCTGCCTTGTTGGGTTCCCCCGAGGAGGAGGAGGAAGAATGTACAGAGTTTGTCGCCACGTCTAGAATGGCTAGAGATACTGAACCGAAATATGCTCGTGAAGGATCGAGCTTGAGTAGAGCGCGGAGAGAAGGATGTGTTGAGAGGACATCGGCTAGAGTAGCGTAGAGTGTTTCTCGGATGATATCAATAGCTGGGGTTGTAGCTGTCAATATGGAGGGTGTGGAGGGTGTAGAAGAGCGTGCAGAGGATATAGAGGAACGGGAGGAGATGGAGGTAGCTGATGAGACGGAGGAGACGTTTTTCCGATGTTTTTGCAGCTTCAAGGGTTTTGTGGTGTTGTATTGAGGACCGGCATTATTACCAGAGCCAGCACCGTACCCGTCATCGGTATATGTAGACACACGGTCTTTAGGTGGGGGAATTGGTGGGTATCCATTTCCAGCAGCGGAAGGTACGGGAATATGCGGGGGATAATATGTCCCATGACCTATAGGTATCTGCGGGACCGGGAAAGGCGGAGAGGTTGGGGCTGGATCTTCATCACGAAGTGTAGCTGAAGAAGCTGTAGACGCTATAGATATTCTTTCCGGTCTGGAGCTACTACTAGGCCGAGAAGGTGACGCGGATCGACCAGCTGTCAGAGAAGCAGAATGCCTTGGTGGACTCCCGTTCCCTGGCGAGAACGTAGGCGAAAACGGTGATAAATGGTTTGTATCCTGCGGCGGCAAGTCCACCGGATGGGGTAGACTTATCACCTGAGCATTTGGAGAACTCTGTGCGCTGTTGTACGCCGAACTTGTCGGAGAGGGCGAAGGTGAATGGGAGGTTTCCTCGTATGAAGGAGGAGGAACGAAGGAGGCTTTGTACGATGGAGAGGCAGACGAAGAGGACGCAGAGGCAGGGCCACCGTCGAGGGCAGCTTGGAGGTCCGCCGCGTACCGGTCTTGGAAAGAACGGCGCTGGGAGATTTCGATTGCGACCGCTCGAAGGTCTGCTGCAATTCCTGTACTGAGAGTCAGAATATAATCAAGAGGGATGGAAAGAAGCGCACCGTATACATCTTCACCTAAATTTCCTGTTATTGGTTCTAAACCACATATTATCCTAGCTAGATCGTGTTGATGTTCCGGAGCAAGTGTTTGGATGGGGGGAACATTCCTTGCCCATACAGATAAAAACGAACGGAATGCAGGTGGGCAGTTTTCTGGGGACAAGTCGGTAGGTGTTGAAGTGGTAGTTGTACCATTGGAATTTTTGCGATTACGGGGAAGAGGAACGGATGGTGGATTTGTTGTACAACGTAGAGCAGCAAAGTATAGACATAGTGCGGGGCCTATAAAAGATAAGGAAAAAACTAGACAAGATATTCATACACGTACCAGTGATCATCAAATCGCCCTCTGCACTACTAAGAACATCAGTGTCCAACAATCTCTCGATTCTTGCCTGGGTCAAGGAAGATTTGAGGTATGAATGGAAAGCATCTTGGATGTAGTCTTCAGTAAGAAACGTTCCACTCGAGCTGCGAGCCTGCATTCCAGGAGAAGTCATGATTGAGACTGGGCAGAAAACAAGCACGAGGCCACAAAAGCGGAAAGTTTTAACTGAACAAGGTATGATGTCACGAGTAACGTGAGCACTGCCAGGCACAGCCACGTCGGACCTTACACTCTTCCACCATCTTCACTCGATTCTGCGCAAGACATCTGTGTTTCCAAAGTAGGGTGTTTCAACCTCGCGATATCCGAAGGGATTGCTTCAACTCAACGTCGGTAGCCGCTCCGCACAAGTTGAGAATGGACGGTCTTGTTATCCCCGACGCTCACTCTCCGACACTACTCTACAGCTCTTGGCCGTTTTCTGGTGCGTAGTCCGGACATTGCTGTACTCAATACCTTTGCTGAGCAATTCTCCGTTCTCACAGATGTATCTGGTATTTGACTTCGACTCCACTCAACGATGGAACCACTTTATCCCGTTAATGGTAATTTCTGCAGTTGATAAGATAGTTAGCGGACACAGGCATTGACCTCTACGTGTAACAAACCACATTTTCCCTATGATTATCATCTTCTCTGATGCCAAGTCTGCGCCGAATCGTAGCAACGAGCACTGACATCCTCACTCGTTTCATCTTTGCAGTACGGTACTGGTATTTAACTGCGACTGCAGATTGCAGGATATAGCCCGTCTTACCTGTCTGATCTTCAAGTCAAAGCAATACCTCTCCATCAGAAGTTACTGTATATCTCATTTGTCCTAATATGATCAAGTCTGTCTAGAAGTATCTCCCACCGAAACTGACACCTCTGTTAGACTTAGAGACATGACCATGGTCCTCCAGGCCTCATCTCTGGACGTCAAGAACTTCAAGCCCAGACCCATCTAGCTACTCTACAAATGACCTGCACCAACATCTGTCAATAGCCTTGAGTTCTCGTCTCATCCAACATCCCATACGACCGCTCTACACTCTTCATTGGCCGTGCTACCACTAGCCACTTAAACCTGTCCGTCTGCGTAGCTAAGTGGTATAGCGTGGGATTGCAAAACTCTCCGGTGCTGGGATCCTGAGGTCGCGTGTTCGATCCACGCCGCAGACTTGAGTGCAGGTTTCTGTTCTTTTGAATACTCAACCTTTTCATCTAGTCATATTTTTAGAAAAATATTGGCAGCACCTCCAAGGCTATAGCACCAAACCAAAGGCAGGGTTTTTAATTGGCTCAAGTCTGACACTACTACAAATTTTGAAATATTCATACACTTTGCATAGAATAATTCTTCTGGCGCAAGAAGGTGGCAGGAAGAACTAATATGTTTATCATGATAGGACTCAGGAACTACAATAGAAAAGGGGAATCCAAGACGCACGTCATCAAGGACTTCCATTTGTACCTTTATAATCAGACTGCTACATATATTTTAAATAAGTCTATCAATAATGGATGTTTCCATAGACGCAGGGGGTATCTACGACTCCAGCCAGCCTATATTTTGTGTTAGCCTTGATTAAAAAAATTGTAATTCTGTAAATCCTTACATTGATGACTCCAGAAATTGAATTATTTCTGGTATTTATGCTACACAGATATCTTGAATCTATGCTTCCATAGACGCATGGAATGTATTTAGCGACCTTGCAAACTTCTACGACTTTTTAATTTCGGGAGCACACCGTGCATGCATTCAGGCTAGACCTACCGTTGTCTTGTGCCACCATCTGTCATCTACTGAGCGGCTATCTGTCACATTCTATAGTTCCATTTCCATCTTCACGACCTTCCGCTTCGCCACTTTATTTGCCCATTTTGAGGGAACGAACGTGCGTGGATTAAACTAATCCTCGTCTTCATTAAGTGCTATCAAGGAACATACGATACCATCAAAGACGTAGCAAATCGTGACTAGGCATTTCTGCACAGTTTGCTGGGCGTTTGAGTCCAGCCTCTCAGTGATTTAAACCCCAGAGCATCATTTACTAGGCTGAACATTTTTTTCTTATCTTACTCATGTCAGCTTTTTCTGAAAAGTGAGTTAAGCTTCCCTGCACAAATTGATTTAACCTCGCCACTTTCTACAGTTACGCCAAGTATGATATTCAATGGGCTAGCCTAGGCAAATCATATTGTCCTGTGTAGCCCTCTGCTGATCACGCAGTTGCAGCTCTCATTTATTATGATTATCTCTTGACATTTAGCTCAGAAGTAAAGCATATCTGGAGTAAAAGAAAGACTTCTACAACAGTCTTATACTTTCTATGTCGATATTCCCTCATAGCAAATGTCCTCTACCTGATGGGAATGTCAGGCAGGTTGAATCTTAGGGTGAGTGTCACTGCAAGGTCTTCAGTTTGTCCCTGTCATGACTTGAGATTTCTTGGGATTAGTATGGTGTGTATGTGATCCCAAAGTTACAGCTTAAATACCTTGCTAGCTGCGATACGTGGCGAAAGCTCATCGATGTACTGGGTGTCCTGGGCAGAGTAGGAATAATCGGTACGCATCTCATTCTACTTGTATACAAGTGACTGATAGATTTTTGTCCTCTAAAGTTGCCTTTACACGCAGAGCACACGCTGTCTGTTCTAAGAACAGCTATGTTCTTGCATACCTGTCCATTCTTGGAATCGCTGCCGTTACAGTAGATATAGTAAGCAACGTTACGACTTATCATTGTAGAATCAATTTCGACTGATTGAAACTAGCTGAGTATTCCTGATCAGAATTGCGGAGCATTCCAGGACGACCCAAAGTAAGCTTCATTTTTAATGATTTCAAAACATACTGTTTTGAACTAATTGCTTAAACAGACAACTCAAACGTGTGTATATCTGACTTATGTTTACGGAGAGAAGCTGACTATTCCTAGTTTCTATCGCCTTATCAGTATTGACAATTGTATTCGAAATATCATCGGCAATTTTTATAACCTATCGAAGTGTTCAAACATACTTATTTCTCAAGGAACAATGGCGGTATCATAGGCGTGGCTTGGAATTTTTTATTTTCCAACAAGGTATCAAAATATAATTTGTGACCAATTCTCCTGATTGACATTTTGCCCAGGTATATTGTATTTCTGGTAGGATTAGCATCTCAGGTCTGGATCACATTCTTGATTGAGTTTTAGCATGGTATCTCTCTTTACTGTCGCTTCTTTCGTGTTGACATTAGTGAGTTCAATTGATCCTGTCTATCTCATTTCGCTGATCGGATCTTCCATTGATTTGCAGCGGGGAAAAGTGGGTTCAGGTGCTACGTACCATATTTGAATTAAATAATTAGCTTTTACAGAATGATTTTATCCAAAATCTGCTGAATGCTCTTACACTTCCGTGTGTACAATTGCAGTTATAAAATCATAAAAAGTCTAATAGTAATATTCTAGGATCTCGGGTACTCTGACTGCTCGTTTCATTCTTGATTTGCGAGCATGGGATGAAAAACACTCTGTCATTATTTTCTCCGATATCGGGATGCCGCCGTTATTTTCGCCCGGTAACAAATCAGAAGGGACGGGTCAAAGTAATTCAATTTTAAATGTTTCAAATCAGTCGAGGGTAACTGACAAAGGAGTAGCAAGCACTCTGAACTTGGCAAGGATATCAGATCTGCCACTTGACAACGTGAATTCTATCCATACCAAGGATTTTGAGGGAGATCCTATGGTTTTAGTAGTAGAAGTAGAATCAAATCATGAAATTAAATAGAGGATTTATGGTGTATGTTAAATTGCCTTGGACTCCTGGAGCTAACAGAGATAGGGAAGTCATAGTGAATAGTGGCTTCTGGACTTGAATGAGGCTGAACTAAAATAGCTGGTTTGTTCTTGAAGTATTGAAACTCTATTGATCCAATGGGGCTACTAGTACTTTCAAACCTTTGCTTCATTTTGCAACTACTATACCATTTTATTGGCCCAAGAGAAAGCTGCTGAAATTGGGTATTTGAATGAGTTGGCTTCCATTCATCTGGAGCCATTGCCTCAGTCAACACCTCAGGCAATGGAATACTTATCCTAAATTGCTTCTGCAGTGCATGCTTTTGATTTTTTACAAACCATTTCTGAGCTGATTCATCTCCCTGCATTGTATAAACTACTAATTATAGTGTTTATATTGTGCAGGAAGTTGGTGACTTTCCAGACAGCATCACATTAAGATTATTATTTTCTTTCTGTGCATATCCATTGTTCTTCTACCCATCATAAAAATACAACCAAATGGCCAGTAGCAGAATTATCAAGAATCTTCCTACGAATTGACTATCTCTGTAGAAAATGTGTGCAGTCATATCATAAATACAATGCCAGAATAGGATAAATAGTACAATTATCATAGTAAAGACACATAACAGCTGTGCCAAAAAAACTCATACTCTAGATACGCTACCTTCCCGATTTGGTACGCATGTGGTACGCACCTATTACATAACAGATCCGCACTTAGTACGCACCTTGATACGCACGTAGGTACGCACCAAGGGTGCGCTAAAATCTGGTGTCCCCGCCGCAGACTGGCTAGATAATAATGCGAAACTTGGAATCCTAGAGGAATTTTTGTTAACTGTCAATGTATTGACTTACACATATATTTGCAAAGCCGGAATTGTGTTCTTCACGTTATTTTGTTACTCAAAAGAACGGAATATTCACTTTTTGAGGACAGGAATCCTGAAAACCTTTCAGAATGCAAAAGAAACTAAGAGAGAATTGAAGCTGCATTTTGAGCTACCCTCCCCCCCTTCCCGGTCTTCATTACTTAGCACCTGTTTTAAAGGCACCAATCAGCTTGATTGAACCAATTAAGACTCTACTTAAATTTGAATTAATTACCAACTACTCGTTTAATTATTTTGGTTGCTCGTGCTTTTCTCTGCGCACACCAAAAAAAGCAGAGGAAGACATGAGAAAATAAACATGATAGCCAAAATGGGGAATAAGTACTCGATTTGCTTCAATGAGGCAACAAAGATAAATAGAAGTATGTTATTCAACTGGCTCAAAATATTTTAATTCCTTAAAGAAATTATCACAAGTTGATCAAGACTATTTGAATGTCTCCTCACCTAACATTGTCAAGCAAGTTGATGCAATACTGTGAGGTACTATGCTTTGAACACTCGACGGAGCCAGCTGCACTAATTCCGTAACCAATTGACCTCATTTTCCTCATTTTGTAACATGAACACATGCAAGGAAATTTTCAACTTTCATTGTGTTGAAGAACTAGTACTATCAAAAGACAAATTTCTTGGTTCATACATATTGCTTATCATGGCGTTGCAAAAGTAATTTTCTTGCCATCGTCTTCACTTTTTGCAACATTTCCGACGTATGCCCACTAGGTTTATTTCGGTCAGCGTAACATTTCCAAAGATGTGAACAAAAAAACTAACATTCAGGTACCCTCCGTCTCCGATTCTCGTGAAAACTCCTGATTTAGCGGCATAAACTTCATACCTGGAAAGTAATGAGTGAACTGAGCTGACGTTCTTGCGAGGGCTAACATACCCAATGGTCCCTCCGATCTGGATATCAAATTCCCGATGACTGTGAGACCAATCAACACCTTCTTTACCATCCCACTTTGTATCGTGTTTGGTATGGCAAGCAACATAATTGAAATCAGGATTGTTTTTGCTCATTTCACCCACAAGAGCTTGAGTGAATTGGCTGCGATCCTATGAGAATTTTGAACAATGAATGCTTAAGGCGTATCAGAGAAGTTAACCTACATCTTTATCCTGCTGAATACCGTCGATGAGGCTCTGAATGCCTTTCACGGCCAAATCAATTAGAGGCTCAAGCACTTCAGCCGCAGCAGCAGGCCCTTGTCTTGCTTCCAGGTCTGTAGACCTTTCGCCAAGAGTAGAGTTACCAGCATTTGCACCCGGTTGAGCGGGCATGGCAATAACGGTTCCATAGCTGGTGACAACGGCAAGTGTTGCAAGCACTTGGACTGTACTGTTGAACTTCATGTCGAAATGTAGTTGAAGGAAGAAAAGCACAAAGTAAAGTTGCACAATGAGGTGAGAGTAGGTTTTCGAGCTCGCTAGGAGTTGTGAATAGGAGTGAATGCTGCGACCACTGACTAGACCAGCTA